CCAGTTTTAAAAAAAAAAAAAAAAAAAAAAAGGAAAAGAAAAGAAAAGAAAAAAGAGGCCCCTTCACTTATTCTAATAGCAAAATCATGGCATGAACCCAGATGCCCATGCACAGGAAAATAGTTGATAAATAGTGGCATGGTCACACAATGGGATACTATACAGCAGTGAAAAAGGAAGTCGTCATGCCAAACCACACGAGTCTTAATAAGATGACATATGGTATAACATATTTTTTATAAAGCTCCAAAACAAGCAAAATAAACACATTGTGATTTAGTGAAAAGATCTTTTTTTTTTTTTTTTTTTACACAAATGGCAAACACAAAAGAATAGAATACAAACTTAGGATGAGAGATATCTCTGGGAGAGGAGGTAGGGGTGGGTGGGGAAGGCAAATGACAGAAGATCTAAGTTATCGGGAATTTTCTACATCTTGGATAGGGCAGTAGGTTCCCAGAGGTTCATTCTGTCATTTAAATGAAGGAATGAATGAGCATATAAACATGCACACAGGAGAAGGCCATGCAGGGAGCAACCATGAGACTGTGTCATGAGCCAAGGATAGATTGATTTGTGCCCTGAGGAAGGACAACGACTGGTAACAGATGCTTTCCTCTGCCATCTGAGTAGCCTCCCCCATGCCGAGGTCTCCACACCCCTGGACAAGGCTGGATCATCATAATCCTTTCCCCATGATCTCTGTGTAGTATTCATCCTGATGGATGCTCACAAACCCATTAAAAATAATTTTTATTGTTTTCCCAATTAAAAAAGTAACAGCAATGGAACACTATTTAGTCATAAGAAGGAAAGAAGGACTGCCATATGCTGTAACACAGATAAACCTCGAAAACAAGATGCTTAGTGAAAGAAGCCAGTCACAGAGGACCACATATTATTATATGATTCCATTTACACGAAATGTCCAGAATAGGCAAATCCACAGAAACAGAATGCAGATTAGTGATTGCCAGGGACTGGAGAGAGGGTGGAATGCTTAAGGGGAATGGGGTTTTCTTTGGGGGTGATGAAAATGTTCTGAAACTAGACAGAGATGACAGTTGCATAACTGTGAATGTACTACATGCCATGGATTTGTACATTTAAAGTTGTTAATTTTTGGTAAAGGGCCACAAAATATGATTACATTGTATAACGTTGAGTATACTAATCATCCTGATTTGAGCATCACATTTTGCCCACACGTACTGATATTCAACACTATCCCACAGATATGTACAATCAATTATGTTTCAATTTAAAAAAATAAAATTAAGTGACGAGTGACATATAAAATGTAAAATAAAATTGTTAATTTTATGTTACGTGAATTTTACCTCAATTAAAAAAAAAAGTCATACGTGCCTATTGCGTAGAGCACAAAAAAGCACTGAAAGAGCACAAAAAGTTAAAAATCCTGCTAATCTCTCTCTCCTAGAGGCAACCACATGAAATATTCTTATGTACTTACTTCCAGTCTGTTTTCTAAAGTACATGCACAGTATGATCATGTACAATATGTAGGAGTGTAGCCTGGTCTGCCCCCACTCAGTAGCAACATGCACATTTTTTCTATCATGAAAGGTTCATCTATCTTTAATGGCTGCATATGCCACTGAAGGGATATTATCTGTTTTACTTACTTGATCCCCCGCTGTTGGACACTTAGGTTGTTTCCAGTTTGTCACAGTTATAAACAATGATGTAGAAATAGCTTGTACATAAATCTTTGTCCCCATTCTGGCCATTTCCTTCGTTTCCCAGAAGTAGAACTCCTGAGGTATAAACCAACGTGGCAAATTTTTTCTTGCTGCAATGCTGCTTTTTGAATTTCTCTGCTGCCTGTTTCTGACCCCCAGGGAAAAGCACTGTATGGGGAGTCTGGAGGCCTTGGGTTCTTTCTGTTTCTGTGTAATTGGAATCTCATGTCTTCCTTCTTGGCCTCAGTTGTCCAGTCTGTTTCATGGGAGAGTTAGACTAGATTGTTTCTCATGATTCTTTTCACCCCAGTATCATGTCTCACTCAGATCTGTAACCGTGTCTAGCACACAGTAGGCGATTAATAAGTGTTCACTGCATGATTAAATCTCTTTCTGTCTTGCATCTCTCTTGCTACTGAAGCTGACAAGAAGAAACTGCAGCATACAAAGAAATTGTACACTGTAAGGGCTCAGAGGATTATATGGGTGGGGCAGTGTAGGCTAAGTCCCAACCAGCAGGTTTAGTCCCCTCCCCTCTCTCCCCTTTCCCCTCGAGGGACCAGGCAGGAGGGAGGGCCAGTGGGAAGCGTCTTGAGAATCGGGACACTTGCTTGGAGCAGCCACCAGGGGGCAGCAGACACTGCAAAATAGGGTGGGAGCCCTGAAGCTGGCCTCCCTGTTCTAAGTCAGCTGGGGTCTACACTGTGTCCAGCTACCCTGTACTGGATGCAGGGATGCACCTAGGTCCCTGGCTGCAAGAAGCCCCCAGACCAGTGGGAGGGACCAGCTTTTTGTAATAGTGCAGAACTGTAGCAACAGAGATGTTATAATTACAATATTAACTGGAATGATGGTAATCTTTCAGGAGCACCTTCTATGTGCTGGGCCCCAGGCTGAGTGCTTGCCAGTCCTGACACCTCATTTGATTCTCACACAATCTCAGGAAAGGAGTACTAATACTGCCCCCATTTTAAAGATGAGAAGATGGAGGCACAGGGAGGGTAAATAAGTAACCTGCCCAAGGTCACACAGCTGATAAATAGCAGAGCCAGAATTTGTGGCTAGCCTGGCTCCATTGCGCTGATCATATACGTAATTATGGGGCGTGGGGATGTGCGGCAAGAAGGGGCAGCCTCCAATCCATCTGGATGAGGGTGGGAGTCTACCTGGAGGAGGTGACTTCTGAGTTGAGTCATGAGCAGGCAAAAGGTGTCTGGGGTAAGGATGGCATCAGAGGCGCAGGGAACAGCATGCGTCTAAGCATGGCGGCTGGACGGGCCTATAAACAGTTCACGTGTGGAGGCAAGGTGGGGCGGCAGGACTCTAAAGACTACAGGGGGCCTGCAGGCCTTGTTGAAGAGTCGGGATTTTATCTCAGGCAGTGGAGAGCTACAGAAGAGTTCTGAGCAGTGACATGACCATGTGTGTGCTTTAGAAAGACTCCTCTGGCCTCTAGAGGTTCTGACCTGCTTAAAATCTTATCTGGGATGGACAGAGGTAGATGAGGCCGTGCTCCTGCTCAGAGCAGGCCCTGGAGGCCTGAGGCCTCAATGGTTGGGGTCACACTCACCCCCCTTCTGCGACTCGATCTCCTTCTTGGCCTGCTCTAGGATGCTCTTGATGGCGTCATCTGAGCCCGTCTCAGGCGTGCGGATTCTCGGAGTGATACTGCCTGGGGAAGGGAGGAAGGCCTCTGTCGCAGGGATCTTCATGTTGGGGTCAGTCCCTGGAGCTGTCCCCCTCCTCCCTGAGGGGCGCCAGGGCCAGGAGAGTGAGGGTCAGACCGGCAGTGAGTGTGGAAAGGCCACTGCTTAGTCTGCGTGACAAGCTGTGGACCTACAAGTGACCATGGTTTGAAATAATAAAAATAAAATAAAGCAACAACAACGACGGGTGCCGATAACCACCACCACAGCTGACGGTTCTCATGCAGTTGCTATGTGCCGGATGCTGTAGTCAGTGTTTTTTTTTTTTTTTTAATTGGCTGGTACAGGGATTGAACCCCGGACCTTGGTGTTATCACATCAGCACCACACTCTAACCAACTGAGTTAACTGGTCAGCCCCTGTGGTCAGTGCTTTATACCCATTTAACCCTCACAATGCCTCCAGGAGGCTGACAGATGGGGAAACTGAGGCACAGAGCAGCTGAAGTGAGTTGTCCGAGGTCGCCCATGGGTAAATGGCAGAACTGGGATTCAAACCTAGATGTTTGTGAGGTCAAAGCTAGGGCCCTTCACATTCATTACCCTAAAAATCAAGTTTGGCAAGGTTGGTGGTCACCCAGGCCATCTTATGGATGGGTAAACTGAGGCTTGGAGATGCTCAGGGAGTACGTGCCAGAGAAGCCCTTGGAGCCCAGCCTTTCCCCACTATCACCAGCCTGAACTGCCCCAGGAGGGGTAGGTGGGGAGGCAGGGGCAGCCACAAACCCCAGGAAGGAGGAGGTATTACCTTCTTTTACAGGGGGGGGAAACTGAGGCACAGAGAGGCAAGGTCACTTGCTCCAAGTCACACAGCTGGGCTTTGAACTCAGAGCTTATGCTCTCAGCCCCCAGCCGCTATGCCCTGGACTTGACTGTGACGGCCGGGCCTGAGCCCCTTGTGCCATGGGCATGGCCTCACCTCGCTGCCGCACTTGGATGGTCCTCAGAGCCAGCACGTTCTGCTCATCTGATAGGAACTGCTTCATCTTGATGAAGGGCTCCTTGCCCTTCACCGTGAGCTTGCGCCAGGGCTTGGGCCGGGCCAGGATCTCACTGACCGAGCCCTGAGACAGCCCCAGCACGTAGTGGCCGAACACCCGCTGCCCGATGTTGTGTTTGAGCAGCTGCTCCTTCACCTGGAAGGCGATCTCCGCCGTGTCCAGCTGCTCCTCCTCTGCCCCAGCTCCTGTTCCCACCGTGCCGCCCCCGCCGCCATCTGCTGGCTCAGGACCTCCGGGCGGCTCAGGGCCAGGGGCTGGGGTGGCAGGGGCTGTAGGGGGCTTGGCGCCATAGAAGGTTGGAGGGAACACCAGCAGGCTGCCTGCTTCGCCCTTGAAGGCGGCTGGGGGCATCATGTGCTTGGACAGCAGCGGGTCCCCAGCCAGTCTCTCCCCAGAGGCCAGGCTGGGGAAAGGGGACAGCGAGAAAGTCCGAGGGCCGTCGGGCCCCAGGCCAGGGCCCAGCAGGGGCTGCCCAGGACTGGGGGACAGGGGGTCTTCAGGCCCCGGTGGAGGTGGGAGCTGCTGAGGGGAGGGGTAGGACTGCTCCGTTCCCAGCGAGTCCTTGATGGAATCATCCTCTGAAGGCTCCTCCTCTAGAACGCCGAGAGGGACAGACAGACAGACAGGGAGACAGAGAAGCAGAGAATGATGGGAGAGAGACACAGAGAGAAATGACCAGAGAGGGAGACAGGGATAGGGAAACAGAGAGAGAGAGAGACAATGTGACAGAAAGAGACAGAGACGGTGAAAGAGACGTATGTGGAAACAGAAACTCAGAAGAGGGAGGGAGAAATAGGAGGAGAGATGGGTGCAGGTTGGGAGAGGCGGGGGAGGGGCACGGAGAGAAGTGCTATAGGCGTCCAGCAGCCACACTGGCTGTTTTGTCCCCCAACGCTCAAACCCCCATTCTTCAGGGCCCTGATCAAATGCCAGTTCTGGGGAGCCCCCTCCTTTCATCAAGAACATCACCTGAGCACCTGCTCTGGCATGGGGCGTGGAGAATTCGGATTAACCGCCACCTGTAGATTGGCCCCACCTGGTGCCCACCCTACACCCTACCTCGTCTTATGCACCTGGCTTCCCATGCGCTGACTCACTCACCCACACAGCACCCAGGAAGTGGGCTGCCCCCATATTGTGGATGAGGAAACAGAGGCAGCACAGAGAGTCTTGCCTGGGGTCACACGGCTAAAAGGTCGTGGAGCCACCATGCAGGAAGAAAGGACAAGTGGCTGAGTAGGTGGTTTGGGGTGAGAAGCAATGTCTGCAGGCCACTCCCAGTGGTTGGCTGTGGGGGGCATGAAGTGACTGCCCTCCTTGTCCCCTCTGACATCTTTATTAAAGCCCCTGTTGCTTAAGGGGGCTTTGGGCAGGCCCGAGTGGGTGTGGGCGCTTTGCCCATTGCTCTCCTGCCCATGAGGAAGGCAGTGGCCCTTGGGCATGGAGAAGGCCAGAGACCCCCGGGCAGCCCCCACTCCGGCCCTGCAGCCCCGAGAGCATCCCTTGTCCCCTACCAGGGCTGGCCAAAAGACCGGGCTTTTCCAAAAGGAACTTCTGTGTGGGGAAGAAGGCCTCCTTGGCGATGAGCAGCGAGTCGTCGGGCTTGGCCAGGCCCTGAGGAGACAAGAAGCAGGCCTGAGAGGCACGCGAGGCTCTCTGGGGCAGCCCGCCTGGCAGGGCTGGCGGTGGGGACACATACCTGCGGGAGGCTGCAGGTGCTGGAGGCCAGCTTCATGGCTTTCAGGATGCTGCCGGAGAGAGCGGAGAAGGTCTGAGGTCAGCAGGTCCCCAGGGCCCAAGGAGAGGCCTTGCAAGGGGCACTTACTGCTCATCTCCCAGACTGGGAACAACTACCCACCCCCGGACCCATTGGGACCACAGGCCTGAAGGAGCAGGCTTGTTAGCAGGTTATGACGTTCTCCCGCACAGTACCTCAGCTCCGTTTTAATTTCTTCATAGTCAGACTGCGCCTGGAGCTTCTCTTCCAGTTTCTAGAAGAGCGAGGAAAGAGGGTGAGGCGGGTCCACGTGCTTAGTGGACCGGCTGCAGCTGCCCTTCTGCCTGGGGCCACCTGCCTGGCTCCTCCCCCAGGACCTACCTCTATGGCCTCGGACTTGGCCGTGAGCTGCCGCTCCAGGTCCGCGATCTGGTTGGCAGAGGTCTCCTCCAGCTCCTGCAGAGAGTTCTGGAGGTGCTGCACGTCCTTCAGCAGCCGCAGGATCTCCCGATCCTTGGAGGCCAGCGCAGCCTCCAGCCGAGGGCCCGAGCAAAGCGTGAAGTTCACCTTATCCTGAGGGCAGAGGGAGCTTTGAGGGGCTGAGAAGGGTAGGACAGGGCTGGCTTCCCTACTGCTGAATGCCAAGCAGAATGGGAATGTTCTATTTGCTGATCTGGATGCTGGTATGGGGTGTGTTCACATTGAAAAATTCAATGTGCTGTATACATTTACGATACGTCCATTTTTCCTTATGCATATCATACTCCAAATAAAACATTTTTTAAAAAAGAACAGGACTGGCTGGTTAGCACGAGTGGTTAAGGTGTGGTGTTATAACACCAGGGTCAAGGGTTCGGATTGTGGTACTGGCCAACCACCAACCCCCCCCCCCAAAAAAAACAAAAAACAAAAGGAAGTAGTCAGCTGGGTGGTGGTGACTGGGAGTTTGCAGTAGAGGGAACAGTATGGACAAAGGTTTGGGTTTCTAAATCAGATCGAGGTCCTACCCCTGGGGGGATGTCCCCACCCTAGGCAGCAAGGGACCGTTAGGGCTAGACTTGAGACCTTGCAGCCACAGGCCACATAACAGGTAATTCCTTCCTCCTTCTAATCTGCTGACACCCCCAAGGCCCACAGCTTCTCCAGGTTTTAAGAAATGTCCCCTTTATCCTGAAGATGGAGAGGTTGCTGTCTGAGGGACCTAAAGTTAGGGTGGTCTTAGGCTCAGTTACAAATAAATCTGAGAAGCATTAAAAGACAAAAAACAACCCACCACTTCCAACCTCAGCTTTCTTCCATAGAGGTAAATGCCAATTAAAACAGGAAGCGGATGCCATTAAAACATTAAATTAGCATTGAGCGCCTCTGTTGTGCTCAGAAAAGCTCAGCCCCCAAACCAGCCAAATTCCCTGTGGCTGATTAGCACAGGCGTTTGCAGAGTTCCACAGGGGTTAATTAAGAACCATTGGCAAATTCCTCTCAGAGGCGTCCTCATGGGCTCTCTTGCTCCCAACCTCTCTCCTCACGTCCTTTCTCCCTTGTGTTCACTCTCTCTGTGTTGTGCTGTCACCCAGGCATGTGGACACACACGCACGGTCTCTGGGGATACAGACACAGGCTGATGCACAAGGACACACCTACAGTCACAGCACACACTGACACACGTACCTTCCTGAACACTCATGTTGACATGCACACACACAGAAATACACAGGCATCAAGGAGACACACTCACATGGACACATCACCATGACACACATGGACGCATATGTGCTCAAAGAGGCCATATGCTCTCATAGGCAAAAACACCCCAGACACACCGAAGACACACTAATAATAATAATAGTAAAATCAAACATTTACTGAGCACATACTATGAGCCAAGCACCATTGTAGGTACCATACACGTAATCTTTTTGATAACCCTTTAAAGTCGGTGTTATTTGTATAGATGAGGAAACTGAGGCACAGTCAGATTAAGGTTACAGTCACTTGCCCAAATGTCACAAGTAGACACACACATACAAGTAACACACATTCTTAGAGACACATTTCAACACTCAAACAGAAAGAAACACAAAGACATCGGGGCCTGTGTATCCGGGTGTCAGGTAAAGGGAAAATTATGCCAGCACCTCCCAGTTCATGAGTGGAGACTGCAAATCACCCTGGAGCAACCTGTTACTCTGTACGGAAGGAAGAATCTAATCCCTTGGATTAGATATGGAGAAATCTGGGAAGAAGGCAGACCGATGTACACAAGGAACCTAAGGCTTTCTGGGAAAGCAGGGACCGAGACCGCTAATGTATGACAGAAGGGTAGGTTGGAGTGACTCTGACTAAAATCCCTTGGCAGGAAATGACACAAGGACCCCAAAGAGCACTAATCAGGAGGAAAGAGAGAGATGAACTGATTAACCAGGCTTAACACAGGAACCTCAGGGTTGACGACTGAAGACTGGCTCTTCGCAACCTGTGGTTGGGGTGGGAAACCCCATTGGAATCACCCTGGCAAGTTTTGGGAACCAGTGGCTGAGGATGAGCATTAAACCTCAGATCTTTTTATGTGGACCCACTGCAGTTCTGGTAAGGCAAGGAAAACCAGCAAGGGCATCACTGTCCCACGAGTCCGCCCAGCAGTGTGAGACCAGCATTCTACAGCGACACCTGGTGGCAGCCACCAAAACTGCACTGAGGCTGTATTGCTCCAGCTCAACTCACGTGCACTCCTGGAATGGTCCTCTCAGCCTGAGGATGTTCCTGGCATTCTCTGACAACTGGGGGTGAGGGAGGCCTCCAAAGGAAGATAATTAATCTTCCTGTTAATTAGGGTATATGGAAGATTGAGCTTGAAAAGTTAAAAGAAAAGCGGTTGTATTTTTACCCTCGGCTAGTGAAACAAGTCATAGTAATAATGTTTAACTATGCACTGACCTTGGCAATTGAGACATGATGCCCACCTTATGTACACAAAGACCCACACACATTCACACTCACACTATCACACAGAGGCACAGGATCAACCACAAAATGTCACCCACCTATTCATACCCACAATACAGGGCCCTTGCCAATCTTTCCCTCTGCCCTTCCCCCCACTTCCCCGACCCCTCCTTACCCCTGGGGGTCCCTGGGGAGAGCAGCAGGCCAGGCGGATGGAACTGTTGACAGAGGCGAGTTGTTCCCGAAGGCTTTCCACTTCCCGCTGTGCAGCCTCAGCCCGCTAGGGAGAAGAGGCGAATGTGGTCAAGAGGTGACCATGGCCACACAGGGCCCTATGGGGCCCCACCTGCACCTTCTCCATCTCGCTGCACCATCTCAGGCAGGAGCTGGGGAGGTAGGTCTCAAGGGCCTGGGGTCCTACTATCTTGGTCCTGGACCCAGTCCTGGAGCTATGAAGACCAGTCACAGAGCTCTGGACTGGAGAAAAAGAAATAGCAGCCCCTGTGCTTATTCCTGAGCCGAGAGGACAGGAAGAAACGCTCCCATGAGGAGCTGAGACATGGTCTCTCCCAACCAGACTGGGAGATAGATTTTTTTCTCTCACTCTCTCAGAAGGTCCCTCTCCTATATAACCATCCAGATTCACATTTGGGGGGTTCTCAGCTACAGTACAAACTCTGGTACATGTAGGATGACATCTGGTCCTCATTTTGTCACTTAGGAGTAAGAACTGGGGTAAACTGGCATGGTTATTATTACGTAAGTGATAATATGTATCTGCTCCACTCCAGAATCCTGTTGGTCACATTCAGGGTAGTATCCATAAATACAGACATTGAAAACCTAATATAGTGACATTTATTTTCTTTTCCATAGTTTTCTATAATAAGCTAGTTTTAGTATTTTTTTTTTTTAAAGATGACCGGTAAGGGGATCTCAACCCTTGGCTTGGTGTTGTCACGGCCATCCCATATATGGGATCCGAACCCGTGGCCTTGGTGTTATCAACACCGCACTCTACCGAGTGAGCCACAGGCTGGCCCAGTTTTAGTATTTTTTAAAAAACATTTATTTGTACATATTTGTGGGGTACAGTGTGTTGTTTCAATAGGGTTTTAATTTTATACTCAGAAAAAAGAAACATTATTAAAAGTGCTTCCTATTCAAACTACTCTAAGGTCTCTTTTTAAGCCTATCTGATTGGCAAAGCTCTGAAAGTCTGATGGCACATGGTACTGGTGAGGTTAGAAGGAAACGGGCCTTCTCATACTCTGCTGGAGGGAGTACAAGTTGGTACAATCTCATGGAGGGCAGATTGGCTACATCTGCCAAAAGTTCCACATGCACAGACCCTTCACCCAGCAATTCCACTTCTAGGAATTTACCCTACCTATTGGCTCATGAATGTAAGAAATGGTGTCTGTATAAGGTTATTCACTGCAGTACTGACTGCAATGGTAAAAGATTGGAAATACCATAAATGTTCATCAGTAGGGGACTGGTTAGAACAGCAGTTTGCAAACTACTGCCCACTGCCTGTTCATATAAATAAAGTTATTTTTTTATTTTTTTGTCTTTTTCGTGACCGATAAGGGGATCACAACCCTTGGTGTGGTGTCGCCCACACCGTGCTCAGCCAGTGAGTGCACCGGCCATTCCTATATAGGATCCGAACCCACGGCGGGAGCGTCACTTTGCTCCCAGTGCCGCACTCTCCCGAGTGTGCCATGGGCTCGGCCCTAAATAAAGTTTTATTGAAACACAACCACGCTCATTTTCTTACAAACCGTCTATGCTTTCATGCTATAATGGCAAAGTTGAATATCTGTGACAGAGACTACGGCTTAACAGCTTGCAAAGCTGAAAATATTTGCTCCCTAACCCTTTGCAGGAACGTTACTGTCCCCTGGGCTAGACGATAGTGCACCCATGCAGGAAACACTACACAGCGTAAAGCAGGAGGGACTACTCTACCTGCTGATGCGAATAGGCTCTAAGATACGGACGTGAGAAAAGTAAGGTTCAGGATGGTATATATAGTACATTATCAGTCTGTTTTAAAAAGGGGTTAAAATAGATATATTATTCATGGGCTTGTGAATGGATTGACCAACTCTGGAAGGAGACTCCGGAAACTGGTGAGAGAGGTTACTGCAGGGGAGGGGACCTGGGAGGAGAGACGGACTTGCCCTCACATGCCCTCGTGTACCTTTTTAGGTTTTGAACTATGTAAGAGGATTACCTATTCAAAGAATTAAGCTAAAAATGCTATGTAACCTATAAAATATGGGGTTCATTTAATGATCATTTCAGAAATATATGTAGGAGCGAAGCTCAGGGAAGCAACTGTGGTCACCACCACCACTGTCCCCTGGTCCCATTTGGCTTCCTGACCCTCCTAGGGATATTGTTCCTATTGGGGGCAGGGGTATATGTTCATGGGATCTCAGCTGGAACCCCACTCTTATGGAGTAGGCAGGGTGGGCCAGGTTGGGCCTGCATCTACTGGTGATTTCCTGTGGAGACAGAGACTCAGAACCAACCCTCTTATCCTCTGCCAGAGGGAGTGGCCACGCCTCCGGGCCTCTGCCCCTGCTGAGCCTTGCACCTGGATGCCCTTCCTTAGGGGAACAGCACCCGGACTCAGCAAGCCAGCTCCCTTAACTACCCCACTTGCCCTGCCACATTGTGGCCCTGCTGACCTGGGATGGATGGGCATCTTCTCTCACCCCATAGTCAGGAAAATGGGCCCAGCTACAGAGGGCTTGAGGCCCTGCTGGCCTCTGCTGGCCCCTGCTGGCCATGCCCCAGGCTACTGGTGTTGTAGGGAGCAGGGGACAGAAGAGGTGGGCCCATATGACTCCAGGCTGGATCCCTAGGGCCACGGTTCACGTCTTTTCAAAGTTCTGCCTGACTGTGCCACCAGATGGCCATGTGTTCTGATGGGGAAACCCACCTATTATGTGAAAACTGAGACCCAGGACTGGGCTGGGATCATGCCTCTGACTGGTCCCTTGCCACCACCCCTGGCTCCTTCACTCAGTCTGGGTGGGAGAGACCCATGTCTTGGCTTAGCCTGGGGACAGGCACTTGTGGGCTGGGATTTCTGGATTCCTGCCTGCCTCCTCCTCCTGCCATCAGGAGACATTTGGAGAGGCCTCCTGGGCAGTGAGCCACCCCTCTGCCTTCTCTCATTTATTCTTCAGGTCATAGCACCGTGTCCCTTCATCCAGGACATCTTCCTGGACCCCTGCAGTCTGGGCCAGGTGCCCTTTCCCCATCTGTTGCTGCTGGGGTCACTCTATTTCCCAGTGTGTCTGTCTGCACCCCCACCACTCCCTGGGAGCTTGGTGAGGGCAGAGACTGGGTCCCAGACATCTCGGCATGCACATGACACACAGTTCAATAAACACTGATGAAGGTCATCCCCTTTGTTCCTCCCCCAGCCCAAGACCTGACCCGGGCAGAAGGAGCCGGCCAGCGCGCCTCCTCACCTGATTAGCTTTCTCCAGGTTGGTCACGATCAGCCCGACTTCATCTGCCCTGAGACACAGAGATGTGGCCCTGAGGAAGGGCTCTGGCAGCTGCTAGGTCCCCACACATGCTGATACCCCAGCCCCTGCCCGAACCCAAGGGTCTTACAATGTTGCCTTCCACCCTTGCCACTGGAGAGAAAGCAGGCGGGGAGAAAAGAACACAGGCTGCGGGGATATGGAAAAAGGGCCCCAGCAATGCAGCTCTTCCAGGCAGCCTGGCCTCCCATCTCCCCCAGGGGTCAACTCTCTGAAGGGCTACATGTCCGGGCCTTTGCCCCTGCTGCGCCTTCCGCCTGGAATGTCCTTCCTCCAGAGGACGAGCCCCAGGCTTTGAAACCCAACTTCAAAGTATCCTCCCTCCACTATCCCAGGTGGTCACTTGTTGACTGTGCTGCCCACCCATCTCCAGACTGCTGGCACCTAGGGGCTCAGGACAGGCCTCTCCTCTGCCTAGCATGGTGGAGGGGGACCCAGGACGCCTGGGAGCGTTTGGTGACTAAAGGCCATACACGTGCTTCATGCATGCTCAGGGCCTTCCTTGGTACCAGCTGTTCTCATGGCTGGTACCAAGGGCGCCATTCCCAGCATGCTCCACATGGCTGCCTCCTTCTCCTCTTTTAGTTCTCGTCCTGAGAGCCACCTCCTCAGGGAGTCCTCTCTGACTGCCCTGGATAAAGGACCCTTCCCTCCCCTCCTCTCTTCCTGCCCTCAGTTCTTGCCTTTGTAGCATTTACCATGTACTGAGAACAGTGCTGGGCATACAGTAGGTGCTCAATGGTGTCTGTGAATGAATGAATTTATCAGTGCACATCAGTTATTGTCTGTCTCCTCTCCTTGGCTGAGGACAGGGACATGTTCTAATGTTTCCTCTGGGGATCCAGCACAGCACCCAATAAACTGCAGGTGCTCAATAAGTGTTTGGGGAATGAGTGATGTCTTAAAGCCCGAAGAACAAGATACAAAAAAAAAAAAAAAAAAAAAAAAAAGCCCGAAGAGACGTTTGAGTCCAGAGTAATTTAGGTGAACGTCACTCAGCCCCTGAGGGTTGGACTGCGCAGTGGGAAGTGGGGACGGCCCCAGGAAGCCCCTGCCCAGCAGCCTCCGCTGGGCCCAGGTCCCAGGACATTATTTTGGGCTTGTGGCGCGTAAGCCACACAGCAAATGACTGCAAACAGCTGTTGCCATGGGGGTGAGGTGCAGAAGTGCTTCATGGAATGGGGGCCTCAGGCAGAGAGTCAGAGGCAGCAGAAAGAAGAGGCACGTCTGGGGGGACAGAGGGAGGCATGACTGGAGGGACAGAGGGAGGCACATCTGGGAGGACAGAGGGAGGAGGCACGTCTGGGGGGACAGAGGGAGGAGGCACGTCTGGGGTGACGGAGGAGGCACGTCTGGGGGGACAGAGGGAGGCATACCTCAGCAGGGCGCCCACTTACTTGGATGCCGCCTCCTCATCGTATTTCCGTCGCAGCTCTAGCAGCTCTGTCTGCGTGGCCTTTAACGCTGGGGAGAAGGAAAGAGTCAGAGTGAGGCTCACACCCCCAGTGTGGGAAGGGTAGGCCTCCCAGGGAGGTAGAACCTGCTCCTTCTGCAGGGCCCAGAAGGCAGAATGACAGTTAGGGTAGTGAGGGACAAGCGACAGGTAGTGGCTTTCCTGCCCCAGAGGGACTTCCAGATGCAGGAAGGGATGTGGAGTGGCAGGAGGAGGGGCACAGGGCAGACGAGACAACTCTATGAGTCTGTGAAACTCAGGGGCCCAGGCCTGGGGTGGGGGTGGAGGCAGTGGTGCTGTCTGTCCCCTGGCCTTGGGTATAAGCCCCCCAACACCCTCGAGTCACTCCAGGACCTGGATGGGGCCATCCATCCATCAGCTCGGCCCACCCTGAGGTTCTGACCTGGCAGGCAAGGGGGACAGGAAAGAGCAACAAAGCCAGCAGTTTCACGTATATTACAATGAATGAGAGATTTCCATCGAATTCCAGGTTTCTCTAGGAAAACTGGAGGGATTGGCCACATTGGACCACATGGCAGTGTCCGGCTGGTGCTGAGCGGCGGCTTGCCCCAGACCTCACCCCTCCCCATTTCCTTCCTGAACCCTGCTGGCTTGGTTGCCCGGCCACTGCAGGTGGCCGGCAGTTCCCACCCCGATTTAATTCTATCTCAAGCCCTCCTTCTGCATCAATATGGCCCCAGAGACTGGAGGCTCGGACCTCGCTGGGTAAGGTAGGTCTTCCCTTCCCCTTCCCAAACTCCTTATTTGCTCTCCTGATTCTAGAACACCTGAGCTGGGCAGACCCAAGCTGTGTCCCCCTATTATGGCTTCACTGCCCCTCCCTATCCTCCCTCTGGGCTGCCTCCCTAACAGGGCCAGACACTTGTGCCAGACACATACCTGAATGTAAGACTTTGATTTTCTCCTCTGCCTCCCCCAGTCTGGCCGCCAAAGTGATTTGTACTTCTTGAAGGCCCCTGCGGAGAGATCAGGCCTGCTCATGCTGGCTATGTGGACAGCCTCCTGTCCCCTTGCCCACTCCCTATGATCTGCACCACTGCCGAGTCCTCAAATGCAACATTCAGGCATGTGGCTGTCCTGTTGTTTGGCTAACTGTGTGGCCCCCATCATGGCTGGCCCTAGGTAAGTTGCTGTCAGCATTTTCAGGGGCAAAAATTTACAGAAACAAGTGACTGCACCTCTCTGGGCCTCAGTTTTCTCATCTGTAAAATGGGATTTTTAATAGGGTCTGCCTCAGTGGGTGTTGTGAAGCACGCTCAGGGTGGTACCCAGTATGCAGTATTCCCTTGATATTGTTAGTTACTATTACTGTCTCAGGGGAGGCACTTTTCCCCCTTTTTGTGGCAGGAGTTTGGATGCTTGGTCAGCCCACTGGGGCCTAGCTCAGGTGGGATTCAAACCTCTCAGGAAAGAGGGACCCTAGCTGGATTTGGGGAGTTTATGCAAAGCCTGGGCTCGACATTGTCTGGCTCAGCAGCTCTTGGGAAGGAGCCCCTTTACCTCTGGTCTCATGTCCTTCCCTGCAAGTGCTCACTCACCTCCAGCCGCACTCGGCTCCTTGCAGTTCAAACATTCCAGGCATGTTCCTACCCCAGGACCTTTGTACTAGCTGTTCCCTTGGCCTGTAACACCCTTCCCCTCTGTACCTGCAAGGCTCACTCCCTCACCTCCTTAGGGCTGTGCTCACCTCTTGGTGAGGCCTCCCCTGAGACCCTGTCTAAAACCACAGCCCCCCCATCCTCTTCCCTGCTTTTTCTTTGGCAGCTGGCCGGTACAAGGATCGAACCCTGGACCTTGGTGTTATCAGCACCATGCTCTAACCGACTGAGCTCACCAGCTAGCCCTTCCTGCTCTATTTTTCTTCACCACCCTTATCAACATCTAGCACACCATTTATTTATCTTGTTTATTCTTGTATTTGCCTCACTAGAAAGAAAACTCCAGGATGGTGGGGAGTTTTGTCTGTTTTGTCACCGTTGTGTCTCCAGTGCCTACAATAGTGTGTGGCACACAGTAGGTGGCTCCATAAATACATGGAATAAATGAATGAAGAATAAGTGAGCAAATGAAAGGATGAATGTAATGACCACCATAAAACTGTCTTGGAAATGCCCCAAGACCCCAGATATGACCGCTGCTCCGATTGTAAGGGGCACTGTGTACTGACACGTACTCCTCCATAGGAGCCTGAGCTAAGGGCTGAATCTCATTTCATTCTCATGGCAGACCAGGAGTGGATTCCACTGGTGATGGTTGGTGGGTGTCACGTGTCCAGTTGGCTCAAGTATAGCCCCCAGTTATCCAATCACACACTATTTTCAGTTGACGTTAAGTAAAGGAGAATATCCTCAGTGGTGTGGGTGGGCCTCATCTAATCAGTTGAAGATCTTAAGACCAAAACCGAGGCAGAAGAAATTCTGCCTCAAGACTGAAGCATCGACTCCTGCTGGATAGTGTCCAGTCTGTCAACTTGTTCCAAATTTTAGACTTGCCAGCACCCACAATCGTGTGAGATGAGTCCTTGAAATACCTCTCTTAATAATTAAAAAAAGAAAAAATCCTACTGGATCTGTTTCTCTGGAGAATACTGTCTAATGTACTACCATTAGCCACATTTTCCAGACAGGGAAACTGAGGCTCAGAAGGTTGATGTGACCTGCCCAGGGCCTCATCTCCAGACTGCACCTGCATTCTCCAAGGCTGGTTTCCTAGGCAGGGGACTTTTCCCGTCCCACCTCCCAGCCAGGGGCGGCAGCCAGGGCCCCAACCCGTGCCTCCCTCCCTCACTTTTGTTTTTCTGCCTCATTTCTCTGCAGCAAGGTTTCTGTCAGGAGGGCTTTGCCGGGAATGCCTGGGAGGCGCCTTCCCTCGGTCAGCGTGGGCCCGGCCGGAGACGTCCCCCCTTTCTGCTCTGCAGGGACAAAAAGAGGGAAAAAGACCCATCGCTGAGAGAACAATGTGACAGTCAAGCAGCTTTCTGCAAACCCCATCAATCGACCAATTACCCAAACCAGGGTGCTGGAGAGAGCCCGGCTGTTGGGACCCACAGGCACCGCGGTCAGCACAATCGCAGGTCGAGTTCCCACCCTGCCAGCCTTGGCAGCACACTTGGAGGCTTCCTGTGCCTCTCATGCCGCCTTGGCCTTCTTCGTTATTTCTTAAAATATCATGGCCAAATACATATAAACATAAAATTCACCATTGTAAAGTGACATTTAGTACTTTTGCAATATTGCATAACCATAGCCACTAATTCCAGAACACTGTCATCACCCCCAAAGGAAACCCTATACCCACTAAACAGCTCTCCACTGCCCCCTCCCCCAGTCCCTGGCAACCAGTGATCTGCTTTCTGTCTCTATGGATGTGCCTATTCTGGACATTTCATATCAAGGGAATCACACGTTATGTGTCCTTTGGTGTCTGGCTTCTTCCACTCAGCATAATGTGTTCAAGGTTTATCCACATTGTAGCCCCTGTCAGGACTTCATTCCTTTTCATGGCCGAGTAATATTCCATTGTGTGGATAGGCCACATTTTGTTTATTTGTTCTTCAGGTGATGGACATTTGAGTTGTTTCCACTTTTGGCCATCATGAATAGTGCTGTGACATATGTTCATGTACACTTTTTTGTTTGAGCACTTGCTTTTGACTCTTTGGGGTATATCCTAAGAGTGGAATTGCTGGGTCATGTGGTGACTATGTTTAAGTTATTGTGGAGCCGCCAGGCTGCTTTCCCCTCCGTGCTGCTCAGGGCACACACTCAGATGCTCAGCCACCACTGCCTCATCTGCAGGTGTAGCCACCTGGGCAGGGTCCACTGTGGCTCATCCTGGGGACCAGAGCATGTGCCTTTGGTGCTGAATTCGTCATGAGGGCAGAGGGTGCTCAGGAGCTGGCCATTTAGGATGGGAATCTGAACTGGGCTCTCAGACAGCACCTGGGAGGCCAGGGAGGGAAAACCCAGAGAAGGGAGAGGACAGGGCCTAGGTTTGTCCAGTGGGGAAGCAAGAAGGCAGATGCTGAGAGCCTGGTGTTCAATCTCTCTCCACAGAGAGGCCTGGAGAGACCCTGGCTAGAGCCACTTGGAGGGTCTGGCTGGGTGGCCTGAGAATTCTAAAATCTGGGTTTCTGACCTTGGGCCCGAGTGACTCAGTTAACTTCTGTCCTATTATTAAACTCCTGTGTGCCCGGCACAGGAGGGCAAGTACAGAGCTGGTGGTTTGTACAGAGAACCCCTTGAGAAGCTGACAGGGTGGTCAAGGCCTGGCCCATCCTTCCACACATGCTCTGTGAATGTTCCAGGTGTTAACCACTATGATACTGGGAGAAAAGCATTCTCAAGAAGAGATGCAGCTCAGGGCTTAGATCAGAAGCCCACGGTCTGAATCCCTGATGGCCACCTGCTGCCTCTGAGACTCAGTTTCCTCATCTGAAAAATGTGGCCAGTGACCCCTCAGAAAGTTGAAGCCAGGAGACTCTGGGGATGCTGTGTGCCTGGTACAAAGCAAATGCTCCTGAGAGGCCATTTCCACAACCACTTTTATTCTTGCAAAGGGAAGTTCAAACCCCAGAGGAAGGAATGACACTTTTGCTGGGGAATCTCAGAAGGCTTCATGGAGGTATCTGAGGAGGTGCTGGGGCTGAACAACTCTGAACAACTGCCAAGTCCTGGCTTGTCAGAGAGGGCGGATGGAGGGCATTCCAGAGCAGGAAGAGTTGGCAAAGTGCTTCCCAGCAGACCTTATCCAAGGCCAGGTACACAGGAGGTGCTCACTAGGACATGGGGTAAGGGACAGAGCCATGAAAATGTGGAATATGAGAGAGCGGACATTTACTGAGAAGTGGGCTTTGACCTGACACTCCTCAGCCCATTTCATCTTCCTGACCACTCCAAGAGGTAGACCATTGGTTGGCAACTATAGTTCTCAGGCTAAATCCGGCCCACCACCTATTTTATACATAAAGTTTTATTGGCACACAGCCACACTCACTCATTTACATATCCTCCATGGCTGCTTTCACCCCACAGCTGCAGAGCTGAGAGGCTGTGACAGAAACTGCATGGCCTGCAGAGCCTCGAATATTCACTGTCTCGCCCTTTGCAGAGGTAAATCCTATGCGTCCACTCCTTAGACAAGTCTCCCCACACCTGACTCTTCCTCTCTCCTCTGCTTCATTTTTTCCCAAAGCTTCCTCACCACCTGACAAATGACTTTGTTCACTGACAATCAGTCTCCCCTTCTAGAAGGGCAGAGCCAGGGGGACAGGATTTTTACCTGTTTTGCTCCCAGCTATGTCCCCAGTGCCTAGGACAGTGCCTGGCACACAGTTCACCAAACGCCCAGGGGTGTGATGGTCACCCACAGCCCTCACCTGCGTATTTGCTCCTCCCTTTGCCGACCCCTGCCTCACCTACTGGGGGTGACCACCATGCTGAATTTTGCTCATTATTCCCTTGCTTTAAATTTTTTTCTCACAATGTATGTATACCTCAACGCTTTATTTATTTATTTATTTATTTTGCGGCTGATTGGTAATGGGATCCGAACCCTTGACCTTGGTGCTATCAACACCATGCTCTAACCAAGTGAGCTAACTGGCCATCCTTTAACACTATGCTTTTAGTTCTGCTAGTTTCATTGGTAATGGGATCCGAACCCTTGACCTTGGTGCTATCAACACCACGCTCTAACCAAGTGAGCTAACTGGCCATCCTTTAACACTATGCTTTTAGTTCTGCTAGTTTCTTGACTTGTATAGAAAGGGCACTGGGATCAGTGTAGTCCTCTGGTCCTGAAGATTCACCTGTGTTGTTGAGTGCACCTGCTGTCCATACATTGTGATGTCTGTACAGGTTTCCGCTGTGTTTATCTGGTCTCTGTACAGGATTCCTCTGTGTTTATCTGGTCTCCTGTCCCGAGATATTGCAAAGACTGCTGCTAGCAGTATTTTTTTTTTTTCCTTTTTTTTCTTTTCTCTTTTTTTCGTGACCGGCAACGGATCGCAACCCTCAGTGTCGCGCCCATACCGGACCGGGCCGTACAGGATTCCTCTGTGTTTATCTGGTCTCCTGTCCCAAGATATTGCAAAGACTGCTGCTAGCAGCATTCTTTGTTTTTTTCCTTTTTTTTTTCTCTTTTTTTCGTGACCGGCAACGGATCGCAACCCTCAGTGTCACGTCCATTCCGGACCGGGACCGGCCACGGGATCACAACCCTCGGTGTTGCGCCCACACCTCGCTCAGCCAGTGAGCGGCCGGTCTGTATGTGGGATCCGAACCCTCGGCGGGAGCATCGCCGCGCTCCCAAGCGGTGCACTGTAGCAGTGCGCCACCGGGCCGGCCCCTGCTAGCAGCATTCTTACCTGTGTTCTTGGGCACAGTGTGAATTTCTCTAGATATACACATAGGAGCCAATGTGCTGGATCCAAGGCTGGGCCCATCTGTAATCTTACTACAAAGTGTTTTCCAAAGCAGAGGCCCCTGCTAGCAGCATTCTTACCTGTGTTCTTGGGCACAGTGTGAATTTCTCTAGAATATACACATAGGAGCAAATGTGCTGGATCCAAGGCTGGGCCCATCTGTAATCTTACTACAAAGTGTTTTCCAAAGCAGTTGTCCCAGTCAATGCCCAGGTAGCAGCAGAGGATAGTGCTGTTGCCCCACATCCTCACCAACCCCTGGCATCATCACACTTGTTAACTGTTGGCTGTGGCTGGGTGAGGACGGCCCTGGCTGTGTTGCTTGGATCACAGGTGAGGTTTAGCATCTCTTCCTGTGTTTTCTCCCCAGTGAAATGTTTGTTCATGCCTTTTTCCATTTCGTGTTGGGAGGATCAGGGGTTTCTCTGATGGGTGGGACAGGGGAGGAGTGGGCATGCCTGGCCTGGACCCTCAGACTCATGTCTCCTTCGCAGCCTGCCCATGCCTGGCCCACCCTCCCTATGTGTGGGAGCTCCAGAGGGTCAAGACCCAGGTCCACCTTTCTGAGGGAGGCTGTGAGCCCCACCCTTGGCCCCTGCTCTGGCCCTTGTGTCACCTGTCTCAGGGTCCTGGGACCACAGTGGAAGCCCACATGGCTCTGGGCCATCTCTCCAGTCTTGCTCTGTGGAAACTAAGCTCTGACCGCCACCATTGGCTCCCTTGAGTCCAGTTCTTAATTAGTCCCAAGCCTAGAGGGTCAAAGGTAAAATCATCTATTCCCCACTTAGACCCCAACACTAAGATTCCAGGTTTCTAAGAGCCCGCAACCTTAGAGACTAGATCCCCTGAGTCTAGATATTTACAGGCAGAAAGGAAAATGGATGTTGTCTAGAATGTGTCATTGGCTCAGGTGTTCTTAAGGCTCCAACTCATCTCCTCCCACCGTCTGTGGCTGTGACAGTGCTGTATGGTCTCTACATCCTGTGTCCCCTTCTCCTGGACACACAGCCAGACTACATTTCCCAGCTTCCTTTGCAGCTGGGTGTGGCCACATATCCGAATTCTGGCCAATGGGATGAGGGTGGAAGTGATGGGTGCCACTCCCAGGCTTAACCCCATAAATCTTGGTGTACCCTCCACATTCTTTCTCTGCCTGTTGGCTGTTTGTCAACATTCACTGTGACACTGGACATCACATGTTGAGAATGGCAGGACCTCTGCAGCCTGGGTCCCTGAGTGACAGCGTGGAGCATTCTCTACAACCTCCCCACCCTTCAGTAGATTAAGCCTCTGGATTTGGGGTTCATCTTTTTCAGCAGTAAACCACCCCTTATCTAAAACAGTAAAGCCCGGCCCCTGCCCCCCCAACCCTTGGCTGCTGAAGATTCACAGCCCAGCTGTGTATCATGGGCATCTCGCAAAGGCCTTATCAGTACCTTTGGGGCTGAGGAGCTCAGGGTGCCTCTTCCACGAAGCGTGGAGGTCTCGCCGGGGCTGCCCACTGGGGTCGAAGCTGGGGGGCTGCAGTCTGTCGTCTAGGCTGCGTGCCACCTCAAACACAGGCACAGGGTCTGCAGAGAGAGAGAGAGAAAGAGAGAGAGAGAAAAAGAGAGAGAGGACTGGTGTGGTGAGGGTCGGGTCCATGGAGTGAGGGCACCACTGAGGCTGCGTGCCGGTGGGACCCTCCACGGGGAGCTGGGGGGACCATCCATAAGAGCTGCCTGGAGTCCCTCTGATGGCTTAGGGGGAGCATGGGGACTTTCTGCTTTACGAGGGAGCAGCCTTCTCCAGGCACCTGCTTGGGGGTGCATGTGTGGTCCCCATGGGGTGGATATCCTGCCCAGCTGGGAATAATAACAATAATAATAGTCACAATAAGTGCATTTTCTCGTTCTACAATGCCATCTGTGGTGACCATGAGGTTGTGCATTGCAGACCTCCTACCACAGGGAGGGTCACTGAGTAAGGACCCAGCTGCCATGCTCTGAAACCATCACTCTGAGGCCATCTTCCCACTGGCCTCCCCAGACAATGCTTGTGTGCTGTGGGGATACTGAGGCAGGACTGCTCTGAGGGCAGACTTTGGCTCGAGGGATCCCCCATAGCCTTGCCCAGTGATTCCTTAGGCTTGTGGTGGTCTAAGTGCTTCCAGTCAGCCTCCCATGGCTCCCTCCCTCCCTGTTTTCCCCAGTAACATCCTTGCACACATAATCCTTGAGGGCTGCTTCTCAGTGGACCTAGATGAACACACCATCATTTGTGAAAAGCACTGTCGATTACATAATGGCTTTTCTAGGGGCAAAATACACACCAGGATGTAAGATGCTTCCCAATTTCCCAGTCGCTAAAAGGTAAGGAAGATGCAGGTCCTTCCGCCTGGAGTCCAGTTCCCTCTCCCAGCCCTTCTCCTAGCGAGTAGCTCCTTTTCCTTCCACCTCTTCAGGACACTTTCCCCAGCTCCGCTCATCCAGGGCAGGGACTGATAACAGTTGGATAATTCCAGATTACAAAGCCCTTCTGCAGGAATGGGTTCCCATGATGCTCACAGCATCCCCTGGTGGCCGCCTTGGATCCAACCCATTTTCACAGATGAGGAAACTGAGGCTCAGAGAAGCCAGGTGACCTGCTGAGAGTGGAGGTGAAACTTGGATCTGGGTCTCCTGCTCTGATCCCATGAAGTCTTCCTGTCCTGGTGTGTGCGAGCCCCAGCAGCCACAGACGGTGCATGAACATGAGGAGCTCAGGAAAGCCAGGGGGCCTGGGTCTGGTCCAGTTCTTTCTAATACCCTGGGGCCTTCTCTCTTCCTACTTCCTCCCCTGGAGTCTCCTGCCAACATCTGCTTGGCCACTGCTCTCTGCTGCGGGGGCCAGAGGGATTAAGAAGGTGGACTCTGGAGTCAGACATTCCTGGATCCTGGTCTAATCCATACTTGCTTCTTAGGATTGCCACGTGACCCTGGCAAGTGACTCTACCTCTCTGTGCCTCACCATAAAAGTAGCAACCTTGTGGGGCTGTGATGAGGATCCACATAAAGTGCTCAATATGGCACCTAAACTTGGTTAGCTCAGAACTAGTGGAAGCCCTAGGATGGCCAGTTGGCTCAGATGGTCAGAGTGTGGTGTTGACTGTTGATAATGCCAAGGTCAAGGGTTTGGATCCCCTTATCAGCCAGCTGTCAAAAAAAAAAAAAAAAAAAAAAAAAAAAAAAAAAAAGAAAGAAAGAAAAGAAGAAGTGGAAGCCCTCACTGTTCTTGTGTTTCTGAGCTCATCAGACTTCTCAGTCCCTCAAATGCACCTTTCTACCTTAGAGCCTTGGTACAGGAGCCTCTGTCAGGACCACCCTTCTCTTCCCTACCCCTTTCAGTTAGTGAATGTTTACTTGTCTTTCATATTGCAACTCACATGCCACTTCTTCCAGGAAGCCCTCTTGGACTAATCAGTCCTCTGATATGTGCTCTTCCAGCTGCCTGCACTTTTCCTTTACAGCTCCCAGTGCAGTTACATTTATATTTATTTGCGAGTCCGCTAATTAACGCCCACTGGACTGCAAACTCCACAAGGGAGGGCCAGGACTGCATCTGTATTTGCCACCACCACCCCTGCTGTCCCCAGCTATACCCCTCATACCTGGCATGAAGCCTGACACATAGTCTGACCCAATAAATATTTGCTGATGGAAGAAACAGGGCAGTGCCTGTACCTGAGGCCTTCAGGTCTGGCTGGAACAAGGTCGCCTGTCCATTTTATCCTTCTGTCGCCTGTTTGTTTAGTGGTGGGAGGCTCGGACAATGGGCATTTGTGCTGAGGTAAGCAGGTGTACGGGATTGCCAAGGAGGCTTTCCTCTGTCAGCAGCCCCCCCACGCCCCATCATTAGGCAGGGCCTGCTCAGCAGGGTACGCCATTATATCTCCCCGGGCTGATGTAATTATACATTGACATAATTAACCCAGCAAGCACATTAGGCAGGCCAGCTAAAAATTCATCTATAATTATTTGTTGTGTGCATGCTAATGAGTCCATCTGCACTGCCTTTGTACAACACGAACAAATTAATTTACAAGTCTGGATTTTTTAATAAGTTCAAGGAAACGCTTTCTATTGTGTCCTGGTTTCTGAGAAAGGAAGAAAAAGGCGATGTGCACTCGCCGGGGTCAGGGAAGTTAGATATACACAGGAGTGTGTGGCTCGAGCGGCCAGAGAGGGCTTGCTCTGGTTCCATGGAGGTGGCAAAGACCCGGCTCGTGGCCCAGGGGCCTGGCTGGCCACGAGCCCGTCCAAGCCAAACTATTACTCATGGGTGGTAAAGGATGTCTGTCACTCACCCCATTCCCAGGGATTGGGTATCAATGTTTCCTTCTGCTCCAAGGCCCTGACGGTCATTCCTTGCAGGCTTGCACGTTCCATGCTGGGGAAGCTTGCCTTAGGTGACCCCCCAGAGAAGCTGGCAGGAACGAGTGGGTTTCAAGGCTGTCTTTTTGCCTTGATTTGCTGGTACAGTGTAGAATATAGTTGTTAAACTCACAGAATCTAAAGTCCAGCTCTCTGAGTCCAAATCCCATGGGGCCTTGAGCCTCAGTTTCCTCATCTTTAAAATTTTTTGGTGGGGCCGGCCCGGTGGCGCACTGCTATAGTGCGCCGCTTGGGAAGTGCGGCGGCGCTCCCGCCAAGGGTTCGGATCCCACATACAGACCAGTTCCCGCTCACTGGCTGAGCGAGGCGCAGGAGCAACACCGAGGGTTGCGATCCCGTTGCTGGTCCCGGTCCGGTACGGGGGTGACACTGAGGGTTGCGATCCATTGCCGGACACGGAAAAAGACAAAAAGGAAAAAAAAAATTTTTTTTGGTGGCTGGCCGGTATGGGGAACCAAACCCGTGATCTTGGGTTATAGCCAACTGAGCTAACTGGCCAGCCCTATTTCTTTTCCCATTTGTAAAGTGGGAAAACATATAACAGTTCCTACTTCCCAGAAATTGTTAATGGGAAGATTAAAAAAGATACCAAGAGAGGCAGCATGATTTAAAGATCGTGTGTCAGCTGACTCCAATTGGCCATGTGACCTTTGGACAATTAGTTAACCTCTCGGAGCCTCTGTTTCCTCATCTGTAAAATGGGGTTGCATGTGTAGGGTGGTTGTGAGGACTGGGGGACTGTAGCGAATTGCATAGTGCAGGGTGTGGGTGGGGGAGTTCAGGTGCCTCAGCCATAGTCAGGCTGTGACCAAGTCCTAATGGGTAAAGCAGTTCACATGGATTGGAACTTACTCAATCTTCACCACAACACTAGGAGGTAAGTACTCTTGTACCCCAACTTTACAGATAAGAAAATCGAGGCACAGAGGGTGAAGTTACTTCCTCAAGGAGAGGCAGTGAGGGCTGGGCTGGAATCCAGGCAGGCTGGCCTCATCTGGCAGGATAATTGGATATCCTCAAGTGTCCCTGCTGGTTCCTAAGCAGGGGGCACATTGGAGTCCCCTGGGGAACTTGTCAAGCATCTTTGGGTCTTAGTGCTGACGATTCTCATGTGGAGGGTGTGTGTTTGCCCCCAGTCCATACTTCATGGGGGTTCTTCATAGTTTGGTTGTTAGATCCTCTCCCTGTTTCTCCCTAGTGGGCTGTAATGGATGTGTTTTTTCTCATAAAGTAGTTTTATGTAGATTTCAAAAGAACCAAAGCAGAGAGAAAAGGTGGCATAAGTCAATCTGACCACTCAGGTGCTGGGACACATGCCCAATCTCTGGCTCCAGGCCATGGAGCTGCTGACAGCCAAAGGTCCTGGGCCCTCCAAGCCACCACAGCCCAGACCCCCAGGCTGGAGCCCTGGTCTTCATGCAGAAGTCGGCCAGCAGGGTGGGCACCTTCACGCTGTCCAGCACTGCGTCCACCTTGGTCCCCAGGACCTGCTTCCGGATGAAGTCCATGTACTCCCAGTCCTTCCCTTTGCTCCCTTTCCACTTCCTGTACATCACAGAGGCATCCACATTGGCCAGTGACAAAGTGTTCGGCTTGTGGAGGAAGGTCACGCTCAGGAGGAGGGTCCTGACGTTCTGGGTGGTGGTCCACTGCTCCGTGAGCAGGTCCCCACTCTGGGGTTCATCGACCAGGGGGTGGAGGGTGGGGATGCATGTGACCCCCTTCTAGTAGATGTTCAGGTGCCACATCTTGGTCAGGAACAGAAAGGCCGGTGGAGAGTAGGGGTGGTCGATCAGGAACTTGAGGTGCACCTTGAAGTAGACACCCTCATAGTAGGTGTTGGGGGGCCCAAAGATGGCCACATCCCAGTTGTACAGGTCACCCTTGTCCACCAGCATTGCCTGGAAGCCCTCCACTGGCTCCTCCTGCAGCCCCCTGAGCTTGAGCAACAGCACCATCTGCGAACTGAGCACCAGTGGCCAGGGCTGGGGCCACCGCCTTCCTCCTCCTCCACAACACCCCCACCCCGCCTGGAGCCCCCCAGTGCTCCACTCACTCTGGCGCCGCTGCCCACCCAGCACTGGCCTCAGATCAGCCCACATGTGGTTTTGATTCCCTCTTAGCTTTCTATGTGGTTGTCAATCAAGTTGTCTGAACTT